TAGTAGAATAATTATGTTACGTTCCTTCAACATTATTACATGGGATAGTTGTAAAGTCATGCTTTTCATTGTCAACTGGAGTGATTCTTGATTTTAATATAATCAGATTTGACTCTTTTTTGTTTGCCTCATGGTATATCTTCTTGGAATCTTGTTTAAGAAGTTTTTCTCTATTCTGTGTTTTTTATTAGTTTTTTAGTTTTATCTTTTAACCTAAATGGAATTCACTGTTGTAAATGTGAATTGTGAAGGGATTTAACTGTCTTTTGTTCTCCATAGAGTGAGCTAGTTTTTTCAGTGCCGTCTACTGAACAGTCTTTGGTAGCCAGCATCCAAGGCTACCAGCAATTCTTGCCTCTTGCTTATTCAGGCTGTTTAGTCACCTCCCACACTGAATAGGGCTGACCTATGTAACCAGTAGGAGATGCAGAAATGATAGTGTGACTTCTAAAACTAGGTCATAAAAGACATAGCAATTTCTGCCTCTCTTGGATCATTCACTCTGGGGAAGCCAGCTGCCATGTGAGGATACTCAAACAGCCCTAGGGGGAGGTCCACTTGGTAAAGAAATGAAGCCTCCTGCCAACGGCCAGCACAGAGTCCCAGCCAAATGTGTGAACAATCCCAGAAGTGGATCCTCTAGATCCAGTCAAGTCTTCAGATAACCACAGCCCTGATCAACGTCTGGACTCCAACTTCATGAGGGACCCTGGTCCTAGGGCCAGGACCACCTAACTAGCCAATCTCAAGTTCCTGACCCACCGAAACTGTGTGAGATAATAAATATTTATTGTTGTTTTAAGCTGCTAAGTTTGTAGTAATTTGTTACCCAGTAACAGATAACAGATTTTGGTATCTGGAGTGGGGTTCTGCCATAATGAAAACCTAAAATGTGGGAGCGGCATTAGAACTGGGCAGTGGGCAGAAGCTGGAAGGACTTTGAGAAGAATGTTAATAAAAGCCTAAAGAGCTTTAAAGAGAGTATTCACCGTAATCTGATGACCTTGGAGGAGGCTGCAGTGTGGAACATGTTTACTGGAAAGTGGTGGGAAAGGGATCCTTGTTATGTAGTGGCAGAAGTAACAACTCTGTCTCCTACAGTTGTGCAGAAAGTAGAAAATATACCTGATGAACTGGGTGATGCAGCTAAAGAAGTTTCCAGACAGCGTTGAAGGTACCACCAGATTTCCTCCTGCTTACAGTAAAATAGAAGAGGAGAGGGTAAACTAAAGGCACAAAAAAGTGAACAAAAAAGAGCCAGGAATTTTGGGGCTTGAAAGTTTCCAGCTTTTCAGATAACAGCTGGTGTTAAAATTAACAAATGGCTTCCAGGCAGTGGTCAAATACAGGGCATTCTCAGTAAAACATGGTCTAAAGATGAAGCGAGGATGTGGTTATAAAATCCTTTGTTAAGACCTCAGAAATATCCAAGAAGATGCCTCAGAGAACCATTCACTCAAATAATAGCACTTATAAGAAGCTTAAGGCTGTTGTCAGGCAGCAGCCTCAGCATAAGCCCAAAGTAGAGGAGCTTATCTCACAAAGATGTATGGGTGTGGCTTTTGTCTAATGAACTGAACCCCAGAACTTGCAAGACACCCATTAAGTTTTTAAGAGAATTATATTAGCAGAAACACTACCAACGTAGACTGGAAGGGACAGAGACAGTGCAAGAGGAGAAACCTTTGGACCCTCAAAGTTCTACAGGCAGAAAGCTGGCCAAGGAGAGTATGGAGCTGCAAACACGGACTCTCTCTTTCATGGAAAAGGAAGGATGACTCAGGTCAGAGCCAAGAGCCATAGAGAATCATTCCTGGACAGGAGTAGACATCAGAGAGCTCCCAACATTTGTCCAACGGATTACAGATTTTCTATGAAGCAGTGATCTCTGTGCCTCCCCAGCCCCCGACCTTTTGAACAAGAGTCATTATCCAAATGCCTGTTCCACCATTGCATATTGAGTGTGTGAAAGAGATAACTTGTCTCTTTACTTCAAGGTCTTCAGATCCAGAGGAAATGTACTTAAGGAGCTATAGTTAAGGAACTATTCCCAAGGAGTGTCATTCCCACCTGGGCCTGATTTAGATGACCAGATTCTGTACTTCAGTGCTGTAATGGGATGAGACTTTGGGGGGTCTTGGGAAGGGGTGAGTGCTGTGCATATGGGATTGGATTTGAATCAGTGGGGGCCAGAAGGTGGACTGTCGAGCTAGCCTCCAAGGCAGTCCCCAATGATTCTAATTCCCTAGTACTTATTCCCTTGTGTTGTTTGCTCCCACACTGAATAGGGCTAACAAAAGACATTGAGGCATTCACTTTGCTCTCTCAGATTATTTGCTCTAGAGAAGCCAGCTGCTGTATTATAAGGACACTCAAGCAACCCTATAGAGAGGTCCAGATGACAGGGATCAGATGTTTCCTGCCAATAGCCAGCATGAATTTGCCAGCCATATAAATAAGCTTTCTCAGAAACAAATTCTCCAGACCTAGACATGCCTCCCAATTACTACAGCCCCAGCTGACTTGGCTATAACCTCGTGAGAGACCCCATGCCAAAAACACTCAGCTAAGCCACTCCTGAATTCATGACCCACAGAAATGGATAATAAGCACTTGTTGTTGGTTTAAGCTGATCAGTTTTGGGACAGTTTGTTACACAGTGATAACTCATAGACACTTGCCCCACTGATCTGTGATGTTCTCTTTATAAATATTAGTTCTCATGTATACACCAGTCTGTTTCCAAGTTCTCTATTGTGTTTCTTTGTTTTTGTTTGTTTGTACTACACTGTTTTCATTATTATGGCTTTGTAGGATATTTTAATATCTGGTAGGGTCAGTCTCTCCTCTTGCTTGACTCTTTTTAAAAACTGACCTGAGTAATAGATTTATTCTTCCATATTAATTTTAGAAAAAGTCTTAGGAGCATCTCAAAAAAAAAAGTCTTCTGGAATTTGTATTAGAATTGCACATCTAGTTTTTAGGTTGAGAGAGGTGAGAGGAGTTTTGGCATGATGATTCTAGAAGACAGAGAAGAGGAAAGAGACCTGTATGTCTGGTTCTGATTCTCCCTCCAACCTCCCACCCAGCCCAGTTCATTTATTCAACAGATACTTACTGAGCATCTACTGTGTACTAGGTACTTACTCCCTAAGTGGGAAGAGATCATGAGCAAATATACCCCAAAATGAGAAAATGTGAGGAACTGAGTGCTATGAAGAAAGTGAACTGATAATGTGAAAAGGAAGAAGTAGGCTGCTTTAGCCGGGGAGCTTAGGGAGGAGGACCAGCACCCTCTTAGGGACACTGCTTGAGTTGTGATCTGAATGGTATGAAGGGGCCAGCCATGCAGACAACTAGCGTGGACCATTCCTGGCAGTGGGAGCAGCAAAGGCCGGCAGCACCAGCTGGATTTGTGAAAGAACAGGTGGGGCTGAAACCTAGCAGGCAAGGGAGAGTAGCAGAGATGCGATCAGACAGTTTGCATCCTGTAAGAGCCTAGTGGACCGCTAAGGAGTCTGGATTTTTTTCCCCAAAGGCAACAGGAAGCTTTTGAAGACTTTTAAGTAGGGGAGTGAGTGACCTTTGGTTGTGCTGTTAATCACCTTCCGCTTCTTCTCCAGCAAAAAAGGGAGAACCTGTCCCCGCTGTGCCTCATCCCCACGGTGACATCTCCCCGGGAGGAGCAGCAGCTCCTGGCCAGCACCTCCAAGGTGAGGCCCCTAAGCCCTGTAGGGTGGAGGCTGGGGGGCCTGTCCCTGCAGCCTGACCCCCACCCTTCTCCATCCTTTCTCCCCCAACAGCCCGTGGTGAAGCTCCTGCACAACCGCAGTAACAACAAGTACTCCTACACCAGGTGAACACCTCAGGGGTGGGGAGGTGCACTGGGTGGAATCCTGGGCTCAAGCGTAGCCCTGCTCCTGGCCCAAGGGGAGGGTTATGGCCACACAGAGGGATGAAAATAATCCTGCCTGGATGCAAATTCCAGCTCTGCCACTTACCCACTGGGTATTTTGGACAGGTCATTTTTACTTCTGAGCTTCAGTTTTATCATCAGTAACCTGGGGTCCAGATGAGGATTAGATGATAATGACTATTATTTCTCAAGTGCTTATTTTATAACAGGCATGGCTCTAAGTGCTTTATGTATATTTAATCACATAATCCTCGCAGTCGTTTGAAGTAGGTTTTGTTATGATCTCCATTTTACAGATGAGGTAATTGAGGCACCAAGAAGTGAAGAAACTTGGTTAGTGTCACTCAGTTAAAAAGTGGTGGAGCTAGGATGCCAGGTGAGGCAGCTTGGCTCCAGAGCCTGCATGAGTAGCCACTCTGCTGTGCTGGGGTTTTCTCAGCAAACGCTGCTTCCTTTCTGAGGCCTGCTCAGCCTGGCCCCAGGGGCGGAGGAAGCTCCCTGCTGAGCATCAAACTCCTAGGCAAGACTAGCATGCTGGGAATCTGGGCTCCTATGCTGGGGGGAACAGAGGGAGGGCAGACAGTTGTGCTGAGGCCTCCTGGCCCTCTGGTCCTCAGCACCTCAGATGACAACCTACTTAAGAACATCGAGCTGTTTGACAAACTGGCCCTGCGCTTCCATGGGCGGCTGCTTTTCCTCAAGGATGTACTGGGGGACGAGATCTGCTGCTGGTCTTTCTACGGGCAGGGTCGCAAAATCGCCGAGGTGTGCTGCACCTCCATTGTCTATGCCACGGAGAAGAAGCAGACCAAGGTCAGAAAGGGTCCAGGGCCTGGTCAGGGAGGGCTGTGGTGGTGGGCAGGACCAGCACCCTGGACAGAGGCAGCTCCACAGATCAGGCAGGGGAAGTTCATCACTAAGAGTCAACGGCTGGAGTTCCAAGTTCTGGGGTCTTAGCTCTGTAACCTTGGGCAAGTCATCTTCTGTGGGTCTAACCTGTTAAAGGAGGGTACTGGTTGAGAGTGGAATTCTTAATCTAGGACAGTTGGGTTTCAAGGCTGTCTTGAAAGGGTATGTGATTTAGGGCATGTGTGTATTTTTCTGTTTAGGAGGACTACAGAATCTCAGAAGAGTCCATGGCCCAAAATAGGTTCTTAAAACCTCCGGACCTTAGAACACACTCAAGTTGTAGGTCCTGAGTCATTAATTTGGCAATCATCAGCAGATACTTCCTGAGCACTGCAAGAGGTTTGCAGTCAGGGTGAATGAAATTTAAGCCCTATCATGACATCTGGCCCCTGATGATCTTATCAGCTTGGTCCCTTCTGACCTTGACGTGAAGGATGTGCCTCATATACACCATATACACCAGAGATCTTGGAAGTCTCTAAGCACCTAGTGCTGTTCCACACCTTTGTTTCCTCTTCTTGGAATTATTTTTCCTCATTCCTGACTGCTTAATGAACTTGTGCTTAGTCTTTAAGACCTAAGCCAAGCATCACTTTCTCTGGGACACCTTCGGTCATGAACTTTCAACCCAACAACCCCAGACAAAGTTGGTCATACCCTCTTCTCACCTAAGCACAGTGTTGATTTATAAGTCTGCTCTGGGTAGGGGAATGTTTACTTCAGCAGTAAGGAGTTTCCTTCTTGAGAGCAGGGCTGTATCTTTTCCCCCCATCTCTCTAGCACTAGCCAGGCCTTTATCACATAGCAGAAGCTAGGAAACATTTATTGAATGTATGCGTGAATGAATAACCCAGCCTCCAAGCAGCTTCCTCTGTGACTGGGAAGACAGGAAGATAAACCAATCATGAGACTGAAGCTTGTTAAGAGTTTTGTTGTTTATGTTCCTCTGAGCCACACCAGGGGAACCCCCAGTCACCTCTTCATTTCGTCCCTTTCCACTCTCCTTCACTCTGCCTCGTTGCATTGGCCTCACTGCTGATCCTCAAATGCACTAAGCGTGTTCCTGCCCCAGAGCCCTTACGCTTACTGTTGCCTCTTCCCAGACTACTGTTTCTCTCATTCTCCACCTGGTTCCTCCCCTCCCTTCCTGTGGCTGTTGGTCAAATGTCACCTTCTCAGTGAGGCCTTCTCTGAGCTCCCTCTTCAAAGTTGTGACGTTCCTGACCGTAGCCATCCCTAACCCCATTTCCTGCCATATTTTTTCCATAACATTTATCATTATCTGACAGTTTATGTTTTATTACATGTATATCTGGGTCCTCCCCCTGGAATGTAAATTTCCTGCAGACAGGAACTTTGTTTTGTTCACTTCTATATTCCCAATGCCTAGAACAACACCTGATACAGTGCAGTCACTCAGTAAACATTTGTGAAATGAAAAAATATATCAAGAGACTTGGAAGCAAAGGAAAGAAAACAGATAACTCTTCCTGACCTCAGAGCTGGACCTTGAAGTACAAGTGTGACTTTGCTGAGGAACGAAGTTGCAAAGAGGACAGTCCAGGCTAAAGGAACCTGTGACTGCTGAGGCTAGGATGCTTGCTGGTGCAGGGGCAGCCTGGGGAGGGGATGGTTGTGTAGCCGGGCCAGAGGGAGGGAGCTGGGGGTTGCTGGCCTTTTGCAGGTGGAATTCCCAGAGGCCCGGATCTTTGAGGAGACCCTGAACATCCTGATCTACGAGACTCCCCGGGGCCCAGACCCAGCTCTCCTGGAGGCCACAGGGGGTGCAGCTGGAGGTGGCGGGGCAGGCCGAGGGGAGGATGAGGAGAACCGAGAACACCGAGTCCGCAGGATCCATGTCCGGCGCCACATCACCCACGATGAGCGTCCTCATGGCCAACAGATTGTCTTCAAGGACTGAGCTTTGACCTTTCTCCCTGTTTTCCTCCACCCACTGGGACCCATTCCCTCTTTCTTTTCCTCCCCTTCCCAGACCTTTGCCCCGGCTTTGCTGGCCAAGTCGTGGGTCTTCCTTCTGTCCCTTGGTTGCATGGTACAGTTCACTTTGGCCCTTTTCCATCCATTCCCGCTTCATTGCTAACCATATGGTACATTCCAGTCCTCCCCTCAGAGGCTTTCCGAAAGCCCACAGTCATTTCCTTATCGCAATCCTTGTCTTGCTCTCTTCCCTCACCAGCTAGTTTAGAAGGATTTAGATTTCCCTTTCTCTCTCTCTCTTTTTTTCTTTAGCACATTGTACATGCCAAAGTGTCAAGCCAGCCCTTAACAACACCCACCACATTCTGAGCCATCTCTTCACTGTTGTGCAGGGTAGTTTGCCTCCCTCCTCCTCCCTCACTACCCTCCCTACCTCCCTAACTTGTACTGAGCTGGCCTGGGCCTGCACCAGCTCAGCATCTTCTCAGTCTGTTTCATATTATTTATTATTTTAATTTTCTATTAAATTATTGGAATAAAGTTGAGTTGAGGGTCTGGTGCTGGCTCCCAGGGAGAGGGCCAGGGAGATGGCTTGTTAGGAAGTACTTGGCTAGGTGGATAGGATACGACCCAGACCCCTGCCTTTCCCTGGGCTGGTAGCTGGGAAGAAAGTAATCAGGATCTAGGAGAGGATTTAAAATCTGTATTTCAGTATTTGCTGGCCAGTTCCCACCCTCAGCTGCACCCTGCCCCCTGCAATGGAGAGGTGGTCCTGGCTACCACTCAGGCCACGCCTGAATGCAGCATCTCTCCAGCCCAAACGTCTGAAGGGAACACCTTCCTTCAAGGGTCTGGTGCGAAGACAAAGTCGAGGGCCTGGCGTTCGGCCCCAGCCACGTTGGGGTGCCAGAGGTCCACGATGAAGACCACTCGAGGCCCGTCTTCAGGAGAACCTAGGGCACATGGGGATGAAGACAGCAGAGCAGCTGATATTAAGTACTTACATGCTGGAGCACGCACTAAATACTCATAAAAGCAAACACTTTGTAGACAAGTGCCAGATACTGTTCTAGTCCCTTATATGTATTATCTTAATCATCAAAACAAACTATGAGGTAGTACCATAAGTATTCCCATTTTATACAAAGTAACTGAGGCACAAAGATGTTAAATAACTTGCCCAACGCCACACAGCTAGTAAGTGCCAGAGGTAGGTCAGGAACCCAGGTGGTTCAGGCCTAGGCTTTTGTGAACCACTCTGCTATGCACCTACATTAACTTATTTCATCCTTGAAGTCATCTGATAAAGAAGGTGGTTGCCCCATTTCACAGGTGATGGGAGGAATTTTGTGACTTGTTCAAGGTCATGCAACTAGAAAGTTGTGGTGTAGGACAGGAAGCCAGCTAGGCCTGATTCTGCAGCCTATAGTCTTACTTCCCTTCACTCTTTTTTTTTTTCCCATTCTGTGGAATACTTTAATAAACCAAAAAATTAGTCCCTCATCCCTCCTAGAAGAATGGGAGCTCCATTACCATTATGAGCCACTGTGTGCAGGAACGAATCATCCACCAGTAGACAATGTCCCTCAGCCCAGCACTGGGGCTCGCCCCCAACCACCAGCTCACAGCCAGGAGGGATCTTCAGGCCTGTAGAAAGAGATTCAGGCATCCAACATTCCTGACTCAGTCGAAGGAGCCCACCCCATTCAGTCAAAAGGCAGATTTGAGTATTAAACACCAGGTTCTATGGTGGCCCCTCCTTGCTCTCTGGAAGGTGACCCAAATATAATTACAATACAGTACTGGTTGAAAGAAATGCTAGGAGATAGGGGAAATGCAGTGCAAAGAACAATCTATTCTGTCCAGAGAGAAGGGAAGGCTTCCTGAAGGAAGTGGCATCTTCTCTTGGACTTCTGACAGTTTAATTCAAGAATCTCCTATGTGCTAGGCCCTCTCTCTCCAGAAGGTATAAAACTAATATTTCCATCCTACCAAGGACCAAACAGTTGAGTGCTGTGAGAAAACCAAGCAGCCAACCCAAATGACGAGGAATAGGAAGACATCTCAGAAGAGGTGTGGCACTTGAAAGTGTGAATTGTGAAGTGAAATTGTGAAGTGGAAGTGATAAGGAAGAAAGACATTTAGGTTAAGAGCATGTGTGTGACATCTGCCAGGATCAGCCAGAATTTAAAGCACAGTGGGAGGGAAGGGGAATAAGGGAACAGGTGGGAGATGAAGAGAGAAAAGAATTGGACTTGATCCTGAGGCCAGTGTGCTTGAAGTGTAGAACACATTCAACTGGTAGCACAGAAAATAATTTGAGGCGAAACAAAGTCATGGCATTAAATAACAGATCCCCCCCCCCCCCGTTTCAATCTTTAAAACATCAAAATGAAAATCTCAGTTTGGTGCTACCATAATTTTAACACCGCCACTAACATTGTTCCTTTTTACAGAAAGAGAATGTAGGCTTCAGTTTCAGACTAGAGCATTTAGCTAGAATTTTATAGCTTTCTTTTTTTAAGTTTAATTTCATTTTTATGAATACTTTCTATTTAGGGCAGGTAATACTGATTATCATTGTTCTATAAAGGTTCCTTTTAAATAAGTAAAACAAAATGGGGGAATCAATATGAAAGCTTATGAAGATGGTTTGAAGATTTCTGAAGGTTAGGAAATTCTGTGGGCAACAGAGTCATGGAAGATTTCTCAGAAGAAAGGCATGATCAGAACCACAGTGTAGAAAGCTCCGATGGCAGAGAAGAGAGTCTGGAGGGGAAATTGTGGAAGCAAGGAGGTTGTCTGTAAGCAGCATCTACTTACCCAGATGGCATCTGACCCGGGCATTGGTGGGCCCACAGCGGCCCTCGAGTCGGGCCCCAGGCAGGAGGACAGAGAAGCCAGCATTGCCGAAGGTGTTGGCACTCATAAAGCTTCGCAGGCCCCTCAGTGCCCGATAGGCTCCTGGGCACCGGCGGCAGTTGCTGGGTTGGCACCGGCCTGCTTGGTACAGCAGGAGCTGGTAGCACCCAGGGGCCAGGGGTGGGGACCAGCCCCGAGGCAGAGGGGTAGTCCCTGAGAAGTCCCAGCTCACAGACCCAAAGTCCCGCAAAATGGCAGGGAAGCTGCTCTCCAAGAGTTCCACATCATGCCGCTGGGCATCCCTTGGCACAAAGGGGGCTGAGGGCAGGTCTGGCAGGAAAAGCAGGCCTGGGCGCTGAATGCCCAGGACCCCTGGCCCTGCCCCAGGGCCTGGGCCACCCTGAGCCGCCCGCCTCACCCTACCCATCCCTGCCCAGGAGTAGCGCCTGGCATAGGCCCGAAGGCGACGGCTCACTAGGCCTTCTGTCCTAGGTCCTTCCCCAGTCTCCCCAGAGCTCCCTGGGCTTGGCCTGCCAGCCTCAGAGCAGCCCCTAGGCCCACCACTGACACCCCCAGCCCGAGTCCCAGCTCCCAGGGTCTGCATGTCTTGGGAGCCCAGGCGGTAGCAGTACCAGAGGAAAAGGGAAGTGAGGGCTCCAAGGAGCAGGGTAAGGGCAGAGGAAGCCAGAGGCAATGGCCATGCAGGCATGATTGGCAGGGAGGCCCTGGCCAAGAGGCCCGGGGCATCTTCCAGACCCCAGTTTCCCTGTCCCCCCAATTCCCCACCAGTTCCCTCCATGGCTGCTCCCTGGTTACCCCCTGGGCTGTTTCCCTTCAACGTTCCCACTCTTGATTCTCTCTCCTTCAAGAGGATCTCTTGATCCTCTCTTCACCTTGTATCCCTCTTTCTCGCCTCCTTCATGTACCTCTAACCCTCCTTTCCTTTATCTTCTATCTTTCTCCCCTCTCCTCTCTCTTCTTTCTCCTTCCCGCAATTTCCTCTCTATCCCTCTGTCTCTCCTTTCCCCGCCTTCTGTCTCCCCCTCTCCTTTCTTCTCTCCTCCGTCCACGCACCTCCCCCCCCCGCCCCGCCTCTCTTCTCTCTCTCTCTTTCCTTTCTCTCCCCTCTCCACCTTTCCTTCTCGCTTCCCCGGACAGCACTTCCTACCCCACCTGGACCCGCAGCCCCGGGAACCCGCAACCAGCCGTCCTCCGCAGCGACTTCTCTCTCTCCTTCCTTCCCCCTCTCCTTCCTGCCCTCGCTTCTCACTCCACCCGACCTGCAGGTTCTCTCTCTTTCCTTCTCGCTCTTCCTCGCTCCTTCCTTGGCTCCCACTCACCCTGACGTCAACCCTCCCCACAGTCCTCTCAGCTTAGCTACCCCCGCCCTCGCCCAGTGGCCACCGCAACTCAGCCTTGGCTGGGGTGTGGGGGGGGGTCGTCTCCGGATTTGCCTCCCCCGGCCCCGACGGGGCGCCACGTGGGGCGCAGGGGGCAAAGCGCCAACCTCCAGCGCCCTGCAATGCGAAAAGAAGGGGCGGGGCCTAAGGGAGGGGCGTGGCAAAATAAGGGGCCGGGCGAACGCTGGGACTGATGGACAAGGCCGGCTCTCCTAGACTGCGGACAGGGACGATGCGGCCTGTCCTTGGGTCAGCCGATCCTTCGACCAGTCGGCCCGCAGGCCACCTCCCCCTTGGCCTTCACAAGAGCCAGCCCGGGGCAGGAGCCTGATTAATAGTGAAGACAGCTTCAGCCAATTGCCCGCAGCGCCGGGGCCTGGCCCTCTGAGGCGGGGCCGAGAAGAGCTGTCCGCTCTGGTGGTGCTGAAAGGGCGCTCCAAAGGCCTTGTGAGATAAAGCCAGGAGGAAAAAATCAAAGTTGAAGCCGCCAGGCAGCTGGCCGGGGTCATATTGTACGTCAGAGGAGGGGTATAGCCTCCCCAGATCCCAGCCCGTCATCTCTTAGACTTCCCATAATCGTAGAAACTTGCCATTCTTCTGGAGAGGGGGAAAGCCCATTCCACATGAGCTTCTGTGAAAGGGAAGTCCCACGGAGGGTCTGGAAGTGAGCTGAGGGCTTCTTAGGGGGCTGAGCAGGCACGAACCCAGCTATGCTGCTCCTCGGCACCCTGGGAAGAGAAGATTCAGATTCCAAATGTGTTGGAATGTCTCGGAGAGGGGGCATAATTACTACTGGGACCAGTGTTTCCTTTGCCTCCCCTAGGGGCCACGGGAATGAGGATTACGACCCTGGCTCATGTGGTCCCTCCTTCCTCCATCTGCACTTCCTCCTCCTCCCTCCCCCCACCGCCCCTAAATAAATCCCAGGCCCCTCCCTTCGCCCGTCCCCAGGATCTGACGTGGGCTCGACACCTTTCTCAGCTTCTCCCTCCCGCAGCTCCAGTGCCCGAGCCTCGGCTCTCCAGGTTCTGCAACCCTCTCCCCTCCCCTCCAAGACCCACTAGAGCACAGTAGGAGCCCTCCCTATCTGCGACCCCACCCTAGGTCCCCGGAAGCTGTTTTGCTTCTCCCGTCTCCTCCCCACCTTAGAATCCAGCCAGCCCGGTGGACCCAGGCACCCGAGCAAGAGGGTAACCCAGGCGACCTGGCTCCTTCGCCCTTCTCGGCCCCACCCCCTGCAGCTGGAGCCGCGCCCCCTCTCCCACAGACCAGAGAGCAGAGGACAGAGGAGACTGGGCAAAGAGGAGTGGGCTCCAGGCAACACCCAGCCCAGTTCTGCCCCTCCATCCCAAAGGGCAGAGAAATTGTCTTCCTTGCTAACTGCTAGCAGGAAAAAAAATTAGAAGGAAAGATAAAAGCAGACGGAGGAAAGGTGACAGCTAGATTATTTAGGAGAGGCGCAGAGGAGAGAAATCGGTGTGAGTCGCCATGGGGACTCCCAGGGCCCAGCATCCGCCGCCTCCCAAGCTGCTGTTCCTAATTCTGCTGAGCTGTCCCTGGATTCAGGGTAAGGACATGGATGTGTGGGGGTGGGCCTCCGGGAAGGTCCCCAGCAGGGTCTCTACCTTCCTTTCTCCGAGCATCCTGTGCCTTCCGAGCTCCTGGGGGAGGGGAGGAGCACAGCTGACGCGAAGAGGAAAGCCAGGGTTTTCCAGCTTGTGCTTGAAGCCCCTAACCCCCTATATTGAGGAGGTGGGGAAATGAATGAGGGGAGCTTTTAGCAGTGTCTCAGGGGTTAAATCCAGGAAGAAGGGCTGGGGAAGTTGGGGGGAGGGTGTCTGCGGTGGCAGCAGAAGCAGACAGGGTACCTGGGTGGGAGATGGAGGTTCTGGGAGAGATGCCAGGCACTGCACAAACAAATGTTCTTGGACATATGGACAAAGACAGATGAACAGAGGCAGTGCTCAGAGACCAGATACTCATTCCCCCACTCTGACCTCCTAGCCAGACTCCAGGGAAGAGGGCAGAGACTGCAGAGGAGAGGGAGGGAGGGAGAGAGAAAGAGAGAGTGAGAGTGAGAGTGAGTGAGAGAGAGAGAGAGGGAGAACCACACTGCAGAGACTGAAACCCAGAGAGAAAGCTAGGCACTGCGGAAGCAAGGGTTGGCAGGTGCTGCCAGACCCTCTGCAGAGCCCGAGGGCTGAGGGGAGAGCACCACTGAAGTGAATATGAAGAAAGCACCCTGTATCTTCTCCGCCCTGCGGGCGCTGTCCAAGGTTGGTCAGAGCCAACGTGCTCACTGAAGGCCCACACAGCCTGGGGGAAAAGAGAGGAAGGGGTAGGAGTGTGATGGGCATCTGGGAGCCCCTCCTCCAATCTTGACTCTCAGCCCAGCCTGGGACCCTCTGAGCTCCTGCAGGTCCAGCTCACTGAGGAGGGAGTAAGAGCTTCAGAAAAGATCTTTCTGGAGAAGGAAGGAGTGTCGAGAAGGGGCAGTGGAAGAGCTCACACAACTTCATCTCCTAGGTCTGCCCCTGAAGGAGGAAGAGGCACTGCCAGAGCCTGAAAGTGAGACCCCCACAGCAGCCTCTGAGGCCTTGGCGGAGCTGCTCCATGGGGCCCTGCTGAGGAAAGGCCCAGAGATGGGCTACCTGCCGGGTGAGGCCCCCAGAGTGGCAGGAGCAACAGAGAGGCAGAGGGAGGGACATTAACTCAGGGATATGGGGATGCCAAGCCAGTGAAATTCCGGGGGAAACAGAGAGATGGCTAGAGAGAATCAAAACTGGGAATAGACAGTCAGAGAACCAGAGAAATTAAGATATAATGATTAGCAGACAGAGCCAGACTGAAAAACAATCAGAGAGAAAGACAGATGGAAACTCGGAGAACCAGAATCAGAGATACAGTAGAAGAGAGACACAGTAAGAGAGAAATGCAGTGACTAGTAGATCTAGAATCATAAAATCAGAGAGTGAGAATATTAAACAGAGATCAAGAGTTCTGGAGAGTGCAAAAGAAAAAGACAGAGGACAGAGGAAGGGGTAACCAGGAGAAGGAGCCAGATCTGAATGGGAAGACGGAGAGAGAGGCTCAAGGAGACTGTTAGAGCGGAAGGTCCTGGACACAGAGGCAGAGAGGGGAAGGGAACGGGAACAGCGGGGAGGTCAGGCTGTGGAAGCGTGTGGGAGGAGATGGGAAGTTTAGATGGGGGGAAGGGAGAGGTGGGGAGACTGCCCCTTGAGGGGAGGTCTTTTGGGTTCAGTGGGGGGACTCCCAGTTTCCCTCAGCCCTGCTCCTTACCCAAGGCCCACCAATTTGCTCCTGTTCCCTGATTTCCCTTGCACTGTCTCAGGATCTGATCCAGACCCCACACTAGCCACCCCTCCAGCCGGCCAGACTCTTGCAGCACCCTCCCTGCCACGGGCCACTGAGCCAGGCACAGGGCCTCTGACAACAGCCGTAACCCCTAAGGGGAGCAGGGGAGCAGGCCCCACCGCACCAGAGTTGCTGACCCCGCCCCCAGGAACTACGGCCCCGCCCCTTCCCGGTCCTGCCTCCCCAGGTCCGCCCCTCGGGCCTGAGGGAGGAGAGGAGGAGACCACGACCACCATCATCACCACGACAACTGTCACGACAACGGTGACCAGCCCAGGTGAGGCGATTGAAAAGAGATGTGGGAGAGGATGAGGGGGAGATGGGGAGAGGCTTCTGGGAACGTGTGGAAGAAGGGGTCTAGATGGGAGAGGGGCTTCTGCTTAATAACAACAAAAGCTAACGTTTGTATATCCTCACTATGTACCAGCACCGTTCTGTGTGTTTTATCTATTATTACAGTTGGGGAAGGGAGTTCTGGGCACAGGTGGAGAGTGAGTATTGGATGAAGATGGTGAGGGGTGATGGGGAAAAGATAGATGAGGACCCCTAGAGTTTCTTGTCTAGGAGGGTAAGAACATAGAGATTCCCTCAACCTCAGCCACTTATATCTCTTTAGTTCTGTGTAATAACAACATCTCCGAAGGTGAAGGGCATGTGGAGTCTCCAGATTTAGGGAGCACCGCCAGCCGCACCTTGGGGCTCCTGGACTGCACATACAGCATCCATGTCTACCCTGGATATGGCATTGAGATCCAGGTAACTGAACTTAAGCATATGACTGTGAAACCTCCCAGCCCTTTCCTCCAGGCTGAGGGGTGTGTATGGGTTTTGTCCAGGAGCCAGAGAACTTATTTTCTGACTCAGAGATGGCCTATTTTCTGAGGCTGTCACAGTCTCTCCTAGAGTTCTGCAAGATGGCCCATGTCACTGTTGTGTTTGGGCAGCCACATACAGGAAAAAGGAAAGCAAGGGGTTGGGGGCTTAGGGAGCTACCCATCCTGGCTGACTTGCCCTGGTGGGTCGGGGTCTGTCTTCTGTAGGTGCAGACGCTGAACCTGTCTCGAGAGGAGGAACTCCTGGTGCTGGCTGGTGGGGGATCCCCAGGCTTGGCCCCCCGACTCCTGGCTAACTCCTCCATGCTGGGAGAAGGACAGGTCCTTCGGAGTCCAACCAATCGGCTGCTCCTCCATTTCCAGAGCCCAAGGGTCCCAAGGGGTGGTGGCTTCAGGATCCACTATCAGGGTGAGGAGTTTGGGGTGCTGGTGGAAGGGCAGG